GATCTGCACTCAGGATATACACAGCACGCTTTCTGTGCCACTCCTTTTCTCTTTTCCCACCTCGACAGCACTATACTTGGCCTCTCTGCTCCTTTCCTCTTTCCCCAACCAGTGCTGTCTCTTTGGCCACTGGGCACTCCCATTCGTTGACCACCCAGTTTTGCCAGTTCGCCAAGGAGGCTGTGCTGCTGCACGCAGGTAGCAGTCCCCATCTCTCACCTCCCTCGCCAGCGATTGTACCCTCTAGATCGCTCTTCGGTTTATGTTTAACTCTGCAGTATTTATCCTGACTCAGATCTTTATCTCTTATTTCCAAAATGATTGTTTCAGCATGCATCCCTTTCACAGCATTCCTGGAGCTGTAACGCACACAACAACGGCAGGTGGACCCAGTCCAGCTGTTCCATGCTTCATACTCCTAGTACCCCTGCTCTCTTGCTACCTTTGCCCAATTGCATTCCTTACAGGTTTGGATACGCTGAGCGCATAGAACAAGGGCTTGTAGGTTGTTGGATCTGCGCAAGCCACCGGGAAAGCTCAGGTGCTAGCCTGGGCCGCTGCCGTCGCTGCCGCCACACGCCGCTTATAATCTTTGTACTCGCTGCACCAGAGGAAGGGATGCGGTGGGCAGGTTCAGAAGGTGGACAGCCGAGGCCCCTGACCACAGCCCCAGCATTCTGTGCAGCACTCACCACAGCTCATACGCATGCCGTTCGTGCTCGCACTTCCAGGGCACAAACAAGCTATCGCGCCTGGACACAGCAGGGGACAGCGTTGTGTTTGCTTTGTCTGAGACCATGAGCAGGCCCAATACTGGCTGCCATTCAGGAGTCCGTCCTGCAACAAGCAGCGCGTTGCGCCACGACAGCAGGTCGGCTGCCGCGACAGCAGGTCGGCTGCGTGCGTATGCGGCGGGCGCACCGGCACTTGTTGAGCTTTAGGAGGATGTGTGCGCAGAAGTCCCTAGAGGCCATGTCGATGTTGCCCGCCTCCATCTCCTCCTGTAGCGCCCAAGCACGCACAGAGTTGGCGGCACCACACAGGAGGTAGCGGTCGGCCGGGTGGTGGCGGCGAAGGCCCACGCCCACAGCTGCCTGCACGCCGCCTGTTGGCGCTGGTGAGACGCACCTGCGTGGCCTTCATAACCGGCGCGTCCCCTGCCATCTCGCCAGAGAGGGAGGACACAGTGACCTCGACTGCAGCACCAACCCGCAGGTGTGGGCAACGCCACAGATCGATCTGACCCTATTCAATCGATCCAGACCCCGTGCACACCCCACACCGCTCCTGGGGCGTGGAGCCACGGGCGAATCGCTGCGGTAGGGTGTCTCGGCGTGGCGGGGACCTCCACCGTGCACAATGTTGCCGGGAGAGCAGCAGAAAGTGGAGCGGATGGAGCTTCATGGGCGAACTCGCCGCGCTGGCATCGCAAAACTTGGAGAGGCGCCAAATCGAGCTCCTCGCGCGTCTGCGGCTACTTGATCGACCCTAGCATCCTTGCGTTGCACCTCTATCCTCTCCAGTTGGCTTGTGCTTTCACTGCTCACTCCGCCGTCACTGCAAAGCGGTCCGTGGCTTCATCGCCTCATCTTGCAGGCAGCTACCAGAAATGACTGGATTGAGAGGAAGCAGGCTCACCCTGCAGCAGCTACTCACATGCTCACGAGCCTTCAGCGAAACGCAGCAGCACAGTAGAGCCTTCACCAGCCTCACCCTTGGCAGCTGGCGGTCCGCAACAACGAGCCCAGCAGCGGCATCGGCGGCCGCACTAGGGTGGCAGCGGGTGGCGGCGCTCGTCCCGTCGCTTGCCGACGCCCAGTGGCTTGCGGCGCCCAAGCACAAGGCAAGCCCTGCTGCTTTGCCCCAAGAGTCGTGCGCAGTGGTGTGCAGGCTGCCGTGCTTTCATCCGTATGCTTCATCTGCCAGCGTGCACCGCCAAACGGTCCCATGCCTGATTCGCAGGTGTCGCCGCACCGCAAGGGCAAGCGCAGCGCCAACAAGTTCATCCGCTTTGTGCCGGTGGTGGCGCAGTGCAGCAAGTGCCAGCGCGTGTTCCAGCAGCACTCGATGCCCTCGAAGTGCGAGGAGGAGGACTGCCCAGCCTTCACCCTGCGGGCGAGGCCAGAGACCTAGCGCAACCGCCTCGCCAGGGCACCACGGCATGCACGCCAGGCAACGGCATTCCCTGCTCTGTGAGCGGGTAGAAGGATGCAAACGTCAAAAACGGTCTGACATCAGGAATGTAAGTCGAACAACCAAGCGGTTGGCACAAAAGGAGCAGGCAGACAGTGTTGAGTGGCGATAAAGAAAAGCAGGCAAAGGCAGCGGGGGCAATGAATGAGCAACATAAGCAGCAACAACAAGCAAGAAATTCACGTGCAGGAATGCCTGAGCCCTGTCGTCCGAGGTTGCTCGAGTGGCGGGTGCAGGCGCCGCTAGCATGCCAACCAGCCCCGCCAGGCCCACCCATGCCTCACTCCTTGCTGCCTTCTGTCTTGCCGCTGGTGTCTATGCTGCCGTTGGCCGCTGCCTCCGCGTCGCTCTTGGGGGCATCCTTTGCCTTCTGCAGCGCCTTCTTTTTCAGCAGCTGCACAGAGCGCGGGGAAGCGGCGGTGCCGGGGGTCAGGTGGCCATGCCTCGATCGTGCTTCGCACCGAGCCATGGGCCAGCACCAGGCCATGGGCCAGCCAGGGATTCCCTCATTCCTTGCTTTTGCTTCCCAACCACCAATACAGCACAGAACAGCGCGCCCCCGCTCCCCACGCACCTGCAGCTTCTGGTAGTTGTAAATGGCCACGCCGGTGCAGCAGAAGGCGTAGCCAAAGAGGTTGAGGCGGGTGACGGGGGCCTTGAAGATGTAGAAGGAGAAGAAGATGAGCATCCAATCCTTGATCACCCCAGCAATGTTCATCGTCAGCGCCGATGTCTTGCCGATCAGCAGGAACACGGCCTGCAAGGGTGGGGCGGCGTTGAGTGGACCCGATTGCACTCCACAGGAGAGCAGGCTGGTGGGCTGCCGTGATGGAGCTCCCAACTTCCACTGCGCCGGGCGCCCAGTCAGCAGGTGCCCGCGGCCAAGACAGCTGGCCGGCGTGATACCCAGCGCCATGACGGGTGCGCGCAGCCAGACCCTCACCAGGTTGAGGGCGAAGGCTGCCAGGGCATTGGCGATGAAGACTGAGGGGTACATGACGGGTGGGTTGGTGAAGAAGGGGCGCGCCTCGACTAGCACTGCGCCAGCAGGGCAACGGTGCAGGAGAGATGCAACAGGGGGCGGCGCAGACTCACGCACGGTGCGGAGCAAGGGGTCTGGGGAGGGGACCCGGATGAGGCGCAGGAGTTGCGTGGCATGCGGCAGGAGATGCAGGTGTCGATGGCAGAGGAGGTGGGCACGCCCATGTGTGGAGGAAGTTGGCACTGGCTGGCGCCAGGCGGGCAAAGGGGTAGGGGGGGGGGGGGGGGGGGGCGC